TTATAGGTGCTCAGTATTTACCATTAGGTTGTTTTTTTACTCGTGCAACTGTTTACGCGTGGGACGATTAATGGTTATACCAGTGTTAAAACGTCACCGTGTAAAAACATTATATTTTCCCGTCACATCGTTCCTACTGTTAAAATGTTTTGTTTTTTTATAAGACACTAAAAACAAATTATTTTTGGTTTGTTTCGTTCCCCACTTCCCTCACGTGGAGCACCAAGCAAGCGTGCCCCTCTCCTACTTGTAGCTGCGAGCCACGTTCAGTCGTGTGTACGGATTTCTGCAAAACTTTTATGCTCGTAAAAAAAAAAGAAAAAAAAAAAGGAAGACATCATCGGTTTGTTGTCACATGCAGTCATGGCTGGTGTACCAGCGAATGTGCACTCGGCTCTCTTTTCAGGGCAACGCCGTTTTGAAACAAACACTTGCAACAAGCTACAAGAGTTAGCATGTTAGCATACAACCTGCTGCTGCAGGCTCACTACAGAGACTAATAACTAATTAACAGCTTTTCTTAACATTTCTTTGCCAAGAGAATGACAGAAAAGAAATGAAGGTACAATTACTTTAGAATTATAAATAAATATAAATAGAACAGGCTGTTGACCCTAGTGTTTAGCTGACACATTTAAACGTATTCTCTCTTAATAAAAACTAAAAATTTCATAAATAAAACCGCTGATCACAATATTAACACTGTCACTTGTGTTTTATTAGTCTCCTTATTTACATTTGCATTAAAACAAAATATTTATACACTATTACACTAGTATAACTAGAAAAGTTTGGTTTTTTCATTCAACCTTTATTTATACAGGTTAGTCCCATTGAGCCTAAGGGACTCGTTTACAAGAGAAACCTGATTTAAACAAAGAATTAACAGTAGACAATCATAAAAGAAAGCATATAAAATAAGATTAAATGAAAGAAAATTATATTAAAAAAACTAAAAAAATAAGAGCTAGGTTGTAAAGCGAATTATTAAGCAATTTATATTGTTTAGGCACAAAATGTAATAGTAAAAGCATTTAAAATAAACACAATGAAACATGTTTTAATTCTGTGAAACTGTCCGTAGGGGTCCATGTCTGCTACGGTTCCACCTCTGCTGAATGACAACCGAGTCGGTCTGCTTCTGCGTTGTACGAATATTATTTAAGGACTCTAATGGTGCAAATGTAATACCTGCACCTGTTCACAGGTTATCAGCATCTGGCATCCAGGTAAATGCTTAGAGGTCCATGCTTCTTCATTCTGGGTACAAGCTGTGTCACAAGACCAGCAGGCAACCAGCCCCGTGAGGGAGAACGGGTTTAGACAAGTTTGAAAAGTTGCCGTCTGGACACAGAGAGCTCTCCAGAACAAGGCACACACTCTTCCTGTGTGAGAATACTTGAGGTACTTTCCTCTTTTAGATCACATCTAGCCAGTTGCCTTTATGATTTTTGACATTTGCAGATAAGTACAAGTAAATATAGTTTTTATGATTAGGAAATCTGCAACATGCTGTAAAAAAATCAGGTTTTAGGGCAAGCTTGTCATAAAGTCTTGTGTTTGTCCTACTAACCTGAAGAAGCACTCATCCACTTACTTATTAATCTGACCATGCTTTAGAAGTCCTAAGGGAATAAATGGGCTTGGTTCTGTAAGCGACACTGGATCCGTGACACAAGCACACCGAGTGGGCAGCTGTTTGGAGAACCCAGTGAGACACAGTTAAATTTTCATACCCTGTGTGCCGCAGAGGCAGCATGTAGCTTCTCACAACCACCAAACAGAGATAGTACAGTAAGAAATATGGTTAGGAAAGCAGGCCAAGGATTTTACATGACTTCTCATGTGTACAAGTATTTCACAGTAGAAAGACTGGCTGAAGTAGCAGCTCATACTAGTTTATTCCTGCTCTGGATGTGTCACAGTAAACAGTTCAAATGAGGCCTTGCTGGACTACGGCAAGCCTTGTACGCAGGCAATAAATCTACACGGAGTATTTTTGTTTCCATTTTTATCAAATTTCCTGAGCCGTTTTCAGCCGGAGTTACTGGGACTGCCAACTGCAGCCGTTACTGGTGGAGATTTGTCTGATCTACTGGAAATATTTAACCACAAATTTACACCAGGAGCCACACATTCAAATGGCTCATGGAAAACACAACTGTAACAGGTCACTAAACAAACAGGGTCGAATATAATTTTTGATTTGGTTCCGTGTCCACCAGTTGTGTGTGGATTTATCTACAGCATCAATACAACAACATCAGTTATCACTTACAAACATTTGTAAAGATAGCGAGGCATTCCCTCAAATGTCAAACACGAACTTGATTTTATCTTACCGGTTTTTGTTTTTAGTTTACATCCTGCTCGTTTGAAGTTGTAAAGGGTTGGGCGGAACCGAAATGTTCTCATCTTATAGCCACTGTACTTGGTGGATTCATGGATTGTCGTGCAGGTTTAAAAAAACTATCCAAGGAGTGAAAACTGAGTGAGGATTATTGTCTGGCTACCTGCAAAAGTCACCAGTAGACAAAATATTACCAGTAGGGCTGTAACAAGTCTAGAGCATCATAAGGTTAGTCGTGAAATTGACAACCATCTCGTGGACCAAAGAAAGCCTCGTTGTCTCGTCACTTTGTAACATTATGGAAGATGCTCTCACCAGTTCAAATGGTTTGTGTGGCTGCAGTTTAAACAAACATCTGGCACCAGAACCACATGGCACCTCACTCATGCTGCATTATGAACGCAGCTTCCCCTGCATCTCCTGCAGCTACGTGCTGAGAGGAAGATTTACTTAATACAGAACAAGCTTAATGCAAATTTCACATTGTGATTTGTTAGAAGCTGAGAAAATTAAGTAAGGGCCTCTCGTTAATCTGGTTGAATTGAAAGGTAAAAAGTTGATCAACTTTAGGTGGTCAGACTGTACTGTTCAGCAAATCCCTACACTTCCCACACAAATTCTTTAAATACGTGTTCATCAGCGCGAGCAACTTTTCTCTGTGATGAAAATAACAATAAAAACCAGAGTTTCATGCCCCGAGTGTTTCCAAGACTCGAACCTTTTAGAGTCTGCTTGACTAAACGCTTAAAGTCTGTTGAACTTTTCATTCTGAGTGATAAATACAATGAAAGAAAACAACTTCATATTTATGCATGCATATTTTAACATGGGAATTCTGAACAGCATGCGCATTTTTGGAAAGGAACAATGTTAAAACGTGGGCTCTCGATCCGGTTTTTAATTTGAGCCCCTGGTGAAAATGAGTTTGAACCGCTTCGAAGTCTGAAGACTCATGAAGAATCAGACAGGAGAGCAGTCAAACTGTTGAGTTCGTGCCGATCGCCATTTTGTAGCGACATATCGTCCCTTCTCGTCTCGTTATGCCCCTAATTACGAGTCTTACTTACTACCTGGATGATTGAGCATGCATCAGGATACGAGTCTTACTGTGTGAGACAGGAATACGTCAGTTCTAAGTAGGTGTTGAGCTTCTAAATCAATCAGCAGCGTAAATAGAATGAGCATAAAGTAATTTCTGGTGCTGCATGAATTCAATAAAAGCAGTCCTATAAGGCTCAGTGCACAAAACAAAACCTTGCTTATCACTGTCCCACTTTCTTTGTTGACCATCAACCCCAATGTCTCACCAAACAAAAGGCTCCACAACTACAAGACGTGAATAATTCAGGGCAAGTGTAACTCAACACTCTCCCACCGTGGCTTTGTTGGAGTAGATGGAAAATAACCCAGTTCCAAACTGAGCACAAACCACAGTGAACTTTGTGACCAGGAGGGTCTCCTCATCCATCCTGTGTGATCAAGTCCACTTCATGGAAAGCCTGGCTCAGGTTGTGGGTTAGGAAACACACGTGAGTGGATGTAAACACTGGTGATTTCCCGCTAAGCTGGTGCTTTAAATAAACCTTACACAACACCTGCACCTTAAACACAAACCTACCTCCCATGTTGTGGGTCGTGGCTCTTAGAAACGTTTGACTTATTTTTGTGAAGTTAAGAGACAGGAGCATAACGGGACCTGCTCAGCCATTCACCACATTTTCCGCATCTAATGTACAGGAACCCGTTTGAAAACGAATGCAGCTGCTTGTTCTCGATGTTGACGAGGAGCTCTAAATGCCAAGACTGCTCTTTAAGAGTCAACGAACAATGCACATGCTTACATAAACGCAATGGGGGCGTCCAAACGCAGATGCTCCATAACGCACAACCACCGAACTTTGTTGGCCCCCCAACTGAACACATTTCGTTTTCCTTCTTTGGGATAGCTCTGCGTGAATGTGCTGGTCACTGAGAAGTGATAAACATGTATATTTTCAGCTAGTGGACCGAACCGTGAGCTTTAGCTAACGTTAGCTTCAGCCTGGCTAATCGAATGCTAACGCTAGCTCAAGCTAGTGGTGGCAGGAGTATCCTTTTACTGCTTACCTTCACAGGCTACGCAGATGTTCTTCTCATGGTCCCGTTAAGTTTCCGGGGCAGTACCAACTTGTGAATAGAACAAACGATTCCAAAACAAACGATTTCTAACTTTTAATCATGTTCACAGGTAACACTCGGCACAAGCACGCAAACCGGACCACCGCCGACAAAGTAATTTCTCCACTTACAATAACAACGTCAACTAAAAAGCTTAGGCCCGCCCCCGACTGACTGGACCAATCACAGCATCGGATAGCTTTTTATGACATGCGCAATGACCAATAGGAAGGTCCAGAGACTTTTGACTGATTTTACCCAGCAGAGTAAACACCAAATGAGAAGAGCGAGAAACGTTCACTTGCCAATTGGCTGCTGGAAAAAAGGGTAAAGAGATGTGTTCAAGTAGCCTATGAGTGAGGCACAGGGCCGGAGTGACAGGTGTTTTGGAGATGACAAAATAGCTGGGGCGTCACCACCAGAGTGGGTGAGATCATCCTGTATGATAAATGCCATGTCACATTGATACTAATTAAAACACTGCATGACACACTTTTAGTCTTTAAAACCTTTATTGTTCCCCAGATTATAAAAACACAAAACACTTCACCATAAAATACAACCCGAAACATTTGAAGAAAAACTATTAACATGCACAACTAACACGTAGGTGTTGCGTTACACAGTTTCACTAACAGTTAAACATTTTCTTCTATTACACTGTTCAACCAATTTTTTTTTTTTTTAATAACTCCTTAACTCAGTAAGAGCTGCTGGGTGTAGCATGTACTTATTCTAAATAATGTACAAAACAAATATCTGAGTTTAATTTTTATGAAAAGATGAAAAACTGTTGATGTGATGCAAAAGATGCTTTGTCCACTCAGCGCCGTCTTCTGTCAGGACTTCTGCTCCGTCTTCGCCCGCCACCCCTGTAACAGGATACAGAAAATTACTGTGCAAAGAAAACGAAGACTGTCGAGAAAAACAAAATCAAATGGCATGTTTGAGACTAGTTACAGGATCCCTATTTGAAAGATATTTTAAACGGTCACAAACGTCTAGGGTAGTGAGATAAAACATTAAACGAGCTGTATTTACATGATCGTTTTTACCCATGTTTCGAAGATGTGCATAAAAATAAAGAATAAACCCAACAGCCTCACCTCCTTTTGTTCTTGGGCGGTCCTCTGACAAATGCCCAGTCTACGCTGATAGTCTGACCCATCAGTTCCTGACCATTGAGCCCCTCCATGGCAGCCTGCGCCTCTTTGTACGTCTCATACTCCACCAGCGCATAGCCCTTTAAACAGATGTCAGAACATCGCATGGATTGTTACGTAAAAATAAAACAGATGTGGAAGTTGTTTCTTAAAATAAAGTAAAAAGTCCCAGCAGAGCACAGAACATATTTTTCCATGGTAATGTGCTATAAGGGAAACACTGTCAACACATTAGCAATATACACTTTTTTGGATAAACAATATATATCAAGTAATTCTTTAAAGCAGTTAAGGGTAATCAATAAAACAATCCTGTTCAACAACGAGTAAGCTTGTACCGATAGATGGGTAGATGCTGCCACCTTGTGGCAGAGAACAGGTACAAATTTATTGTATTAAAAAAAAGACTGAACCCATTTTCTTTTTGGATTGCATATCGACTTTCACAAAGCAATTTAAAAAGTACACCCAACATCCTTCTTATTGAGAGAAAATGACCAAATAACTTGTATTCAGACCTTCTTGGCATCTGCCAACAGCTGTAAAGGAGGTGAAAGTTTGTGATTTACATCAGTGGCTTCTAAAGTTGTGATCAGGACACTAAACACACATCTTGAAAGTGTGGGGTCTTCATAACATCCACAGGAATCCAATAAATGTAAAAAATAATAATAAGTAGAAAGACTTTGTACTAGAACCAGAAATTGTTTAGGTCACAAGTCTCTTTCATTTTTATTTTGTGAGTTAAAAACTGGAAAGTTTGTAAACAACTGGTCTAAGCCCTCTTATGATCATCTATAGTTTCTTCATTTTAATAATCTTCTTAAACTTAAATGAGTATATTTCATTAATTCATCTAAAAGGAAGCATGCTCAAACAAAAGGGATTTTTTTTTTTTTGAGGACTAGTTCTTAAAGTCGTCTCTTAACTGCTGTTAATAAATACAATCTTTCACACAGTATTTAAAACATTGACTAGATTAAACTTTAAATGCATTGTTATGAAACCTTAAAAAGGTCTAACTTGCCAGAATAATAGAATATTTATTAAATACTGAATAAAATTAAAAAGTAACATAAGTTAAGAAATTTACAGAAACTTTGATATAATATAATTTCCCTCTGGAGTTAATAAAGTATTTTTGAATTGAACATGATAATAAAGTCAGTCAGCAAAACAAGAAAAAAAAAAAAAAACGGTCTCACCTTCAGGTAACCAGTTCTACGGTCGAGGTTGAGGTGCAGGTTCTTGATTTCGCCGAACTCTGAAAACTTGTCATGGATGTCTTCTTCTGTGGCCTCCTCGTGCACGCCCGTCACAAACAAGATCCAGCCCTCCACAGCTGCAGAGTAGAAAAGTAATAACCCTCTTATTTAAGTTTATATCAAAGCTTTTTTTAAAATCTTGATGCCGTCTAAGCTTTTACTGCATTGTTAGACTACACCTAACATCACTCGTTACAAAACATTAACTGTCAGCTTTCTTTCATGCAGTGAGGATCAAGACAAGCTCATCAGCCAGTTAATGTGTTGTGGGGGAGAAAAAGTTCACACATTATTACTTTTTGAAGGAGGCAGATAAAATGACTAAATGTTCTGCAATATCTTTGGGAAAGCTAACATTACCAATGGATTTGTCCAAGGTGCATGAAAAGGCAGAGATCAGTAATAAATGACAACAAAAAAGCTAAATCTATAAACTTTGACAGCAGTCACCGGCGCTGGTTAAATAAAAACTGCTATTTGAAATGACATCACAAAATAGTGCTTACCCTTACTTTGACAATGGTTTATGCAAAT